TCTGTTACTGACACAGGGTGAGGCCAGGACCCCCAGGGTGGGGTCTGTTACTGACACAGGGTGAGGCCAGGACCCCCAGGGTGGGGTCTGTTACTTACAGTGAGGTGAGGCCAGGACCCTCAGGACAGGGTCTGTTACTGACTGAAGGGAAAGTGATGTCCCTGGAGCTTTTCCAGTTCTTCACCTGGAAGTGATGTGTGATGCTCCCCTGGAGCAGGGCAGGGTCATGGAGCTGTGGACAGCTTGCCAAGGTGGGAGCAGGGGACACTGTCCCTGAGTTGGCGTTACTGGCAGGGCGTTTGCCTGTGAGGCCACGCTGGGCCCCGCTCCCTCCTCCCCTGTCCTTCACACGCTGAGCAGGGTATCAGAACAGGGATAAACCTCTCACGTATGTTCTGGGTGGAAATCCATTAAAGTCCCAAGCGTTTCCAAAGTTTCTGACGCAACAGCCGGCCAGATATCCAACGTACCAGGTGTCAGGAGATGGGCGGGAGGGCTGAGGGGCCAGGTGTCCAGGTGGTCAATTAGGACAAGGAGCCAGACCCAGAGTGAGGCCAAGCCCCTGCTCACTTATGGGACGGTACGGCAAGAGGCCAAAGGAAGGTGCTGGCCCCCACGTTCCATGTCCCCCCAGAACGGCACCAGGCGAGGGTCCGGTGGATGCAGAGCAAATGCGGGGAGTCGTCTGGTTGCAGAGGGAGCCCCAAACAACAGCCCCTGCCATGTTGTGGACCCAGGGCCGCGGGAGGTGGGGAGGGCTGGGAGTGGAAATGTGCCGACCCCAGCACTCTCGCCGAGAGCAGAGAAGAGCCAACGGGTCCCCATGTGGATTAAAGATGCACCAAAGCTCTCAGAGGACATCAAAGTCAATTTCAGTTTTCAAGAACTGAACACAATTCACGGAGTGGCATTGGGATTACCTGGCGTTATAAGCACTCAGACCCTCTAAGCACCGTCTCCATCCTCCTGCTCTTGTGCATGATCTTAGCGCAGAGTGACGCCGCCGAATGGGGATTGAAGCTCGTTATGTTCCAGTGTATTCAGATGGGAGGACACTTCCTCTCTGGGGATGATGATGCGCTGTTATCGTGCGCTCAAGGAGCCCTGGTGGCACGACAGGAAATGCTCGGATGCTAACTGAAATCTGCGGTTCGAACCCACCCAGCGATTCCTCGGGAGAAAGACCTGGAGATCTGCTCCCATAAAGATCACAGCCTAGAAAACCCCACGGGGCAGTTCTACTCTGTCACACGGGGTCGCTCTGAGTGGAAATCGACTCAACAGCACCCAACAACAACAACATTGCCCATTCACTGCGTCCAGGGTGTGTAATCACCCAGGTGCCCAGCGCAGACGAGCCTGGTCACATGCCACCCCCACGGACGTTGTGAGCTCCACCAGGAGCCAGCCTCTGTCCTCGGCACTGAGGGCACAACACACAGCAAGACAGAGCCAGCCCCGCCCTCAGAGCACCCAGTCCAGAGAGAGGCACAGTGAAGGGAGAGATAACCCACCAATGCAGAAATTAGACACAGCTGTTGAGAAGGAAGCAGGCTAGAGCTGGGGGGACACAGAACAGGGAGGTCGGAGAGGCCTTGAGCTGAGACACTGAGCCAGGTGGGTGAGAGACAGAGCCCAGTGTCCTTCCTGAGGACATGCAGTGTGTCACACATATTGAACCAGCAGACTCATAACTCTCTTTGCTAGTAACATTTCAAGAAAAGAGAATACCAGTAAGTTACTACTGGCAGTGAGAATTGGCCCAGGAATCATTTTGGAAAACAATTTGGCAAAACGTGTCAAGAGTTGTGAACTCATATACTCTATTTGATGCAGAATCCCAGTTCTGAAATTTAACCTGGAAAATAACCGACATGAGGGGGAAAAAGACAGAAGGACAAGAACATCAATATCCACATGTATAAAATATAAGCATATAACATATATAAGTAAGATATATGTGCTTGTATATGGAAAATATTGAGATATCTACATATACACACACGCACAGAAATAAGCTAACTGTAAATAGTGCAAGGCTGCAGTAAAATATATCCAATTGACTGCTGTATATATACTCCGATTTCAAGGGGCTGTATATTTAGGAACAATCTATAGTAATGTGGAAGGTGGTTTATGAGAGAAGACTAAATTCAAACAGATGACTGAACAGCAGACACTGATGTAGGACGGTGTAAATCACGTCTGCCTGTGGACAAGGGCACAAATGTGATATGGTAGAGAAATGGACGAATGTGTCTGCGGAGTGGTGTACGGCTGAGCTTCTGTTTGTCTCCTTGGAAGAAGCGACAGAACGCCGCACAGTAAATAGAACCTGGGTCAAACAAAGGGCCTCAGGGATCCCTCCATTCCTCCTTTCTCCTCCTCCCATCTTCGCCACGCCTGCCTGTCCCCCACGGGTCCATGTCCACACCCATCCCTGACAGGTAAGGTCCTGAGAGAGCACGGGCGCCCCCATGCCCCCGCGCCCCCCGAGCTAGAACGTGCTGGTTACTCAATTGTTGTTGGCTGCTGTAGAGCTGGCTCTGACTCACAGCCACCCTGGGTATGACAGAAGGAAACATCACCCCGGGGGTCCTGCGCCCTCCTCATGATCATTAGTACGTTTGAGTCCACTGCTGCAACCCCTGTGTGTTCTGAGTGCCCTCCACCCTAGGGGCTCATCCTCCAGCACTGTATCGGACAGTACTCGGCAGGTGCTCCACAATGTCTGCGAGTTTACCCACGTGTCTTTGTCTTTAGATTTCTATTCAGAGACTCACCGTCCCACCCTCCTTCCACTAGTGAAGACTTCAAAGACCACACATCATTTTAAGGACAGTAAAGCTTTGTTTAATAAAATCATAACATACTTTTGATACTGAGTGGTCTTCACCATCTTCCCTGTGCCACAATCTACGTCCAACACACAATCCTACCTTCTTCTCTGTGGCCAAACGATGTGTGGATAATAAAGCACGGCAGGAACCAAGGTATGTCAGCCTATAAATAAAGTGCACTACTTTCATTCGACAGAAATACCAGGTTTAGACAGGGTTCATTCATTATTTCTCTTGATATATTAGCTATATGGAGTGGATATGCTGAGAGTTAAAACACGAAGAATTCTGTCGGAAATAAAGGCAGTTCCTCACTTGATTTGCTTCACAAAAAACTAACTAAGAGAAAAAACACCAAGTGTAAGACTTGTGAATACAGTGTTGTCACCTGCAGGTGCTCGCAGGCATGAGAACGATCCGATATCGTGTCACGCGTGTTTCTGGAATCGCAAGGGATCCTGGGGCAGGGCTGGGCCCACTCCCACTGCCCAGTAGCTACAGGGTCTGCACAGGGGCTCTGCCGCCTGGGCCAGGACTCCCCTCAGCACACGCAGGGTGACAGCATCTCAGTGCACTGGGTCACTGATGCACGCGGGGCCACTTCACGCAGGCTCCGTGCTGAAGGACACCCAAAGATTAGCCCCGGGACACTCCATGTGACCGAGGTGAGTCACACCAAGAACTGACGGACGAAGACAGAAAGGTCCCCAGAACTGCACCTGAAGTCAGGCAGGTGTGTGGGGGTGGGGAAGGGGCTCAGGCGACATACGCTCACAGTTCTAAAGGAAGATTTTCCAGTATGAACACCAGGGTTCCACATCTCAACCGTGCATTTGCAAACCCGATGAACGCCACCGTCCCAGTACGAGTCTCCACAGCCCGTTCCCAAGTACATGGTTCTCTGGCTCACGCCTGGGGCCCCGCCTTGTACCCCAGGAGCTCACCCGCACACGGCTGTAGCAATGATCCCACCCCTAAGGGGTGAGTCCATAATTAACATCGACACCCAAGACACGGCTACTGTTTCACGCCTGGCGCCACCGGTCAGCCAAGGGTGGGGGAACCATTGGCACCTCCTCAGTGTGGGCTGGCGGTCAGGGAGAAGGTGGCCTCTCCTTGGCACGCAACACCCTTACGGGGATGTGAAATGGAGCGCCTCCTCCCCCTGCCCCCGGCTGGGACTGCTCCCTGGGATAGAAAGGGCTGTGAGTGATGAGACAGGGGCTCTGGGGAGTGGGTTTAGAAATCGGAGTGATGGGGACGGGCGCCAAGCACAGGCGGCAGTCAGCTGGGGGGCTCTGCACACAAAAGTGCTGGGAACCAGGAGACAGGGTGCTGTCTGGGGGGTCTTCACATTGGCCGTGCGTCCACTCACCGACGGGGACAACTGGGACGTGTACACAGGTGAGGTGCCCAGCGTGGAGAGCATGGGGTGAATTCAACAGATTGCGAGCCTCCTGGTACTCTCCCCACGCCATGCCACCCCCGACGCCTGTGGGGTGTGTGGGGGTGCGTGGGGGCTGTGGGGGTGCGGGGACCTCTGCCATACTCGCAGGCCACCTCTTGCTTGGTGTCCAGTCCCCCCGGTGCTCACAATGCCCTGGGCTGGTGTGCAGTGCACGCGCCGTGACGCAGCCAGGTGATGGGAGGCGCGGCCTTGCAGCTGGTCACCTTCTGTCCTCAGTCACCTCCTCAGGAAACCACGGCCCACAGCCCCTCGTGGCCACGCAGCCCGAGTCAGCAGTGAACCGAGGCGTGGGCACCCCACAGGGGGGTCACAGGTGACACTGTCCCAGGCCGTGACTCCTACTCCAGGCCCCACAAAGGTAGAGTGAGTCTGTGGTGGTGTCCAGGGTGAAGGCCGGTGGGCAGCCCTCTCACACAGCGGACAGGTCCACGCGGTGGGCAGAGAGGCTGCTCTTGTCCCAGGGGCTGAACTTCGAGGAGGCCGTGGCTGGACGGGCCCCACTCATCTGCAAACCACAGAGGGGAGAGGGTGAAGACTCTGCCCCCCAGACCCGCCCTGTGAGTGCGGAGCTCCCAGGCCAGAGCCCTGGGGGCCCTCCTTGCCAGGGAAGTTCAACTGAGGGCCGGTCTCTCCACGGCCCGGCTCCATCTCACTTCCTCTCACTTCCTGTTTCTGACTCCAGTTCTGCGGTGAGGGCTCACCCTGTCCCAGTGTGGTCTGCATTCACTCATTCATTCATTCATCCATCCAGCCATCTGGTCATTCACTCATTCATCTATCCATCTGTTTGTTCATCCATTCGTTCACCTCGCCATCTGTCCATTCATTCATTCATCCATCCATGTGGTCATTCACTCATTCGTTCATCTCTTCTTCTAATCATTTATCCATTCATCCATCTGGTCATTCACTCATTCATCTATCCATCTGTTCATTCATTCATCCATCCATCTGGTCATTCACTCATTCACCCATCCATCTGGTCATTCACTCATTCATCTATCTGTTCATTCATTTGTTCATCTCTCCATCTAATCATTCATCTGTGCATTCATTCATCCATCTCCCATTCACTCATTCATCTATCCATCTCTTTATCTAACCATTCATCCATCTGTCCATCCACTCATTCATCTATTCATCTCTCCAGTCACTCATTCATTTATCTGTCCACCTGTCCATACATCTGTTTAACGTTTATATATGGCGCATACCCTGTGCTGAGCACTGCTGTAGGCCATGGGGTTACAGTGGGAACAAGTCTACCAGAGTCTACATTCCAGGGTGGGGGGCAGATAGTGGTCATTAACAAACAAATCAACCACTGCAGGTGGTGGCAGGAGTATGGTGATGAAATGGGGTGTGGGCACCCATGAAACAGTGTGGTCCAGGAGGGCTTCCTGATGGAGGACCTAAGTGACAGGCAGGAGGCACTGTGCAGTAACAATGCCTGACTAGGTCTGTGCCAGGCTACCAAGGGCCCTGCCTGCATCTGGAGGGCAGGAGGGAGTGGGTCAGGGCAGTCGTTGAAAGACGAGAGGCTTGTTTAGACCCTGAGACATGGGAACCTGATTTCTCAGGTATCCCTAAGTGGGGGGCTGATGCAGCGGACGCACTCCCCCAGGCAGGGCTGTGCACGGGCCGCTGTGCTCCCGTGGTGCTCCATCAGCACGTCGGGGTCTACCTCCCAGTCAGCTGATGTCAGCGCAGAGGTCCCGGCCTTGGGGACCTGCCGTGGGTGCCCTAGCCCCATGCATATGGAGCCTGAAGGCATGCATCAGGCATGAAGGGCGGAACAAGACCAGCCAGCACCGCAAAACCTGCCTCCACCCCACCTGCAGCTGCTGGCCCAGCTCAGGGCCACAAAGGGCAGAGGAGTGGGGGGTTAAGAGTCAGCTTGCATTGCCTGTGAGGCCCCAGGAAGCAGCCCTGAGCCAGCTCGCAGGGCGGCAGACAGAGAGCAGAGCCCTCGGAAGCTGGCCAGGCAGCAGGTCAGCGCGGGGAGGGAGGGGGCATTCAGGAGGTCGAAGCAGACAGTGGGGCTAGAGGAGGTGCTGAAGCCACTCACGATGTCAGAGCTGAAGGGCTTCGCGTGGGTGCTGCGGGCGGAGCTGCTGGTGAGGGACCAGATCTTGGTTTTGTGCTTGAAGGCGGCTCTCACCTTTGGAAGAAGGACGGGGCTCAGGAGAAGCAGCTTCTGAGGCTCAAATAGCAACAATGAGATGTGACTCTAAATGGAATTGGCCTCGACTCATAGCAACCCCGAGCACACTGGAACTAAACGCTGCCAGTCCCGCGCCATCCCCGTGATCGGCTGCAGATCAGACTTCTGTGATTTATACGGTTTTCACTGACTGATTCTTTGGAAGTAGATTGCCAGGCCTTTCTTCCTAGTCTGGAAGATTCCTGAAACCTGTTCAGCATCATAGCAACACTCAAGCCTCCACTGACAGACGGGTGGTGGCTGCACATGGGGTGCATTGGCCAGGAACTGAACCCGGGGTTCCTGCCTGGAAGGTGAGATTTCTACCCCTGAGCCCCCACTGCCTCATAAACACAGGGCAGTGGGAAGGACAGGGGAGCCCAGACCAGGACAGACTGAGCTGTGAAGCGCTGACTCACGTGGCAGACATCGGCTGGGTCCCCACGCACTCCCACCAACTCAGGGACAAGGATCTGGCCCGGCGTGGCCTCTGTGCAGATCCAGGTGGGGGACAGGAGACGCTCAGCAACAATGTCACAGGCAGCAGAGTTCAGTGATGGGCACTGAGGACCCCAAGGAGGACGTGAACAGACACCCATGCACACAGGGTGGACCAGGCACCTCTCTGACCACGCGTACCCTCGACCTGGGCTGCTGGGCCAGCCGCAGGTCTGTGCATCCATGTGACCCCTCTGTGTCAACACCTCCATGGGCTGCACCTCTGCCTGCCCAGCCCGTCTCTTCCCTCCTGCCTGGTGTCTGTGTGCAAACTGATGGCCCTCACCCCAGGCCCAGGCG